GACAATGTCAGTATTGACAATACAACCATCAATCCTCGTGGTAACCAGTCTCAATACTTCACTACCTTACACGATCAATATTATTGTCAATAGTTTTGTCAATCAGTTTGCTCAATAAGTTACTTTTTTAACACGTACAGGGTGAATCTACGTAGTTTTACTCGGTTATTTGCCGGTTTTCCTTTCGAAATAAGGATAATCGTACAAAAGCTTGCGTAGCTATTATTTTGGGGCTTGGAACTACTCTTCGACTGAAACGCAAACACTGGATGAAAGAATGCTTGAAAAAGAGAGATGAATATTCTTATCTAGTACTGTTGATAGAAATCAACCTCTGCTATGTTGATGATTTCAAGAACTACTTTTGAATGGATGAAAGTTCCTTTAACAAACTGTTACAGATGGTTGAACCATTTTTGAAAAGACAGGATCGCAATATGAGAGAAAGTACAAATGTTAGGGAAAGATTAGCCTTAACCCTGAGGTATTTGGCCACAGAAAGAAATTTTGAAGACTTGAAGTTTTCTGTTATAATGTCCCCAGCAACTATCAGCAAAGCTGTAATAGAAATTTGTCAAACCTTTATGTATGTCCTACAAGACCAACTGAATGAACTAGATGAATCAACAGTATCTTCATCGTCTTGAACGTCAACAACGTCAGGTAATGGGGCGGTTATTTTCACCATTTATTCACAGGCGCGCGGCTTGAACTGAACTGAGTGTAATGTAGAAAATAAGAATTAAACCTGTTTTCAAATCATCTGGGTTAACCCTTTAACGGTTAGTGGCTTCTATAGAGATCACTTATCAATAAGGTCAAATAGCTGCATTACCACAACTAAATCGTTTCTAAAAATGAAAAAATAATTTGCCCTTTAAAGGGTAAAATATGTTTATGTTTATATTATGTTTATATATGTTTTTCAGTGTGTTGATAGACATGTTTTGTTATTGTTACAATTAAATAAAAGTAGGTATTTAATTTTGAATGTTGAATTTATTACTCTGAGTATTGATGGAAACATTGGCGCCAACCCTACACGGTCAATAGTATTATCAATATCCCCTCCAATTTTCAGTATTGATGCCCGAAAATCAAAAAATCGGGATTTTTATCAATACTCCATCAATATTTATCGTCACTAAAATTTTTTACCTTACACTGTCAATATGCTAAGGTGTTGTCAATATTGATCGTGTAAGGGCCGCTTTAGAAAAGCACACTTAAAAAATGAAAAACATTGATGGCGCTTCTAAAATGCAATAAAAAATCGTTCAAAATATTTTCCCCCTTTATACGATGAAAGTTTTATGAAACTTTTTTGATAAAATTGATGTTTTATGAGTTATTATTAGGTAGTCTCAATTTCAATGCCTACCTCAGTATATGAAATATAGTCTTTTAAAACAACTTCTTAAAAAGATTCAACGCAGTTGGTGTCCTCTTATAAAACCAGTTCATACACCTACTTAAAAAATTTGGCGTCTACAAATCGGTACCTACCGACGAATAGTCTCAACAATTCGGTATTATTCTTGAAGGACACATTATCGATTTTTCTCTATGCAAGAAATACTAAAATATATGCAACTTATTTTATGTTTTTCGTAGTAATACGTTAGGGCGCGTATAGCAAAATTTAAATTTTTATGAATGGCGACACATAAGTCGCCTTTGGTCGCCTTGCCATCTAGGCATCACGACCACGAACTAAATTCTTTGGATAACTCAAGGTTTGTAAAGCATATTGTACCAATACGCTTTACAAACCTTGGGATAACTATGTATATCTATAAACAAGGGTTTTACTTTAGAAACCGAACGTGTCAAACGTAAACCGCGCGCAATGTCTCGCAGTCGTCTCTGTGTTTTTCTTTTTTTTTTCGGTTTCTGAGTTTACCAAAGAAAAAATGTATTCGAAGTTAAGTTGGATTTACCCGTCAAACGTAAACCGCGCGCAGTGTCTCATAGTCGTCTCTTTTTTCAGTCTTTGTGAGTTTAAACCAAAGAAAAAATTTATTCGAAGTTGAGTTGGATTTACCCCTTTTACCCTATTTATTGTTCATGAAAAACGTCTTACGAGCTGCGCATGGTCGTCACCTTCCGTTGTGGTGGAGTTAGAAGCGGGCTTGCTTCTCAACGTTTCTTTTTTACCTACCGATCAAGAAATTTTTTGGAGTTACAAGATCAATGTATCGTGTATAATAATAAAGGATGGTGGTAAACCGAAGCCCGCTCATATAATTGAATTTGTAAAAAAAGTACCATAACATTAAGGTTTTTATTATTTTTTTGTAACTATTTATTATGTAATGTTTATTATTATAAAAATGTTTATTAATACTTTTATTGGGTTGATTGGGGGGGGAATTAAATTGTGTTAAATTGTGTTATTATTATTTTCCGGAATATTCCCAAGTTCCTGCGCACGCGCATTCAAGAGTTGTGAGGCGCGCCTTTATGCGTTCAACGCGCCATCTTTCAGAAACGCCGATTCTAGACAGGAAGTTGTTGCTCCTCCGCTCCTCCGTGACGTCATCCGCCCGATGTAAAAGGATAGGGGTGAGGGGTGTCAACCAAAGGCTTGGGGGAAAAATAGGTTGGTAGCTAGATCTGGTGACTTTTTAAAAAAGTAGCAGTCTACCTAGTTGGTAGTGGTTTAGTTCCACTACCAGCCACTAGGTAGCGCGTTACTTTTTTTAAAAACTCACCAGATCTGGTTACTTTTCCAATATCAACCTATTTTTTTTCTCCTCCGTCTTAGGTTGGTACCCTTCCCTATCCTTTTACATTGGGTTGATGACGTCACGAAGGAGCGGAGGAGCAACTTCCTATCCAGAATCGGCGTTTCTATACTACTTTCAAGCTACAAACTATATGACCGCATAATAACAACAAGAACACAAGTAATCGCTGAAACATTCTTGGAGGAGGAAAATAATGGCTTTTTCGAAGAGGTAGACCATGTATAGATTGTGTCTTCACATTATAGCAAATAATAGAAAAGAGAAGATGAGGGACAGGTTTGAGGGCGGGAAGAGAGATCTTTTGGGAGGGATGTGGAAAAAGAAAGGTTATGTTTGAGGGCTTGGCGAGGATCGCAACGATATACGTCGCAGAAGTATAGGGATGGAAAGAACAAGGATTGCTGGAGGATGTACAAACAAGGTATTGTAGATGGNAATAAGTAATACACTTTTCCAATACCAACCTATTTTTTTTTCTCCTCCGCCTTAGGTTGGTACCCTTCCCTATCCTTTTACATTGGGTTGATGACGTCACGGAGGAGCGGAGGAGCAACTTCCTACCTAGAATCGGCGTTTCTATACTACTCTTGAATTCAATATGCTAATTCCACGATAGTTGTTGGTTTCATCCCTGTTACCCTTTTTGAATAACAAGTCACCAACAAATCACCTTCGCTATCGTCCAGTCGCGGGGAACACATATTTATAAAATGTAAAAAACGTAACTTCAAAGCAATACCTCCGTATTTTATAAGTTCAATGTTGATATTTGATATTATCAATTCCGGCTGCTTTTCTGTTTTTGACCCCTTTCAGGGCATTTTCGAGTTCCTCGAGCGTTATATTATCTACTGCATCGTTGTAGTCGTTATCTCCCTCCTCTAAAACCTCTGAGTTTCTAGGGTTGAAGAACCATAGGTCTCTATAGTACTGTTTCCATCGATCCTTATTTATTACATTTATCCTTGATGTGTCTTTCTCATCCTTATTCAGATGTTTGAGACTTTTGTATGCATATTCCTGCCTACCATGGACGTCGTCTTCGATGTTGGATATGTATCTTTCCCAGCTTTCTCTATGTGCTTTTCTTGTGAGCTGTTTAGCCTTATTCCGTTTTTTTTCTGTATTTTGGGTTGTTCTAATGTCTGATCATCTATATTATCTAGAGGCACCTCTTGCGGTCCAGGTATATTTATTAATGTTCCGTTGTCGGATGAAAATTGGAATTAATTAGCAAAGAAACATAACCTTAATTTCAATGTCGGTAAGTTAGCTAACTTCAATGACAGTTTACTTTGACATTTTTAATTTTTAACACATTTTTTTATTAAGCGATGAGATTATGGGTTTTATTTCTGGTTTATTTTTCTTTTTGGTTGGGGTTTGGATCATCGAACACTACGCAAATACCCAATCGCACAAAAACCATCAATCCAAACGTGTTTCAAAAAACGCTGAGAAGACACTTGCAAGAGAAAGATTGGAACAAAACGCTTTTGGAGATTCTCGCAAATCGGCAATCGGAAGTGCAACGTTTAAAACCGATTCAAAAATTGATTTTGCTTCTTGCATTAGAAACCAACAGGCAGAATATTGGATCTAAACGAAATAAACGTGAGGGATTTATAACGAGTTTTGGTACTGGAGTTGGAAAAGCAGCGACTGGTGTTTTAAACGCTAGTATTTTATCGATTGATGAATTTAAGGTGGATTTAAAATGAGTTTTTTGTAATAAGAATTCAAAAATGACTTATTTTTTAGGATACGTTCATAAGAGGAAGTCGAAGTTTACAAGAAAAAAAGTTAGATGATGAATATGAAGATGATTACAAAAAAGAACTTAAAATGCCTTTTAACAAAGATATTTATTTGATTACTTTTCCTTTTGCCGGAGGTATTTACGAAAATATTACAAAAATAAATTAAAATGTTATTATTGAACTGTTTATTTTTGTGCTTAATTAATATTTTTCTTTGAAGGTGTTTGCATCTTAATCATAATTCTCTGTGTAATTCTAAAACCAACGGGACCTTGTTGCGATAAATTCCTACAACAACCCGGCGAATTAACGTATAGGCAAAGAAAAATGTTGGAGAGAAAACGAAGAATTCAAGAATATAAACGAAATAAACGCTTAAATTCCATCATCAAGAAACAGAAAAAAAAACTAATGCAAATTCAAAAACGTGAAATGAAAAAAAGGAGAAAAGATAAAAAAATTAAACGGAATTAAATTAATCTGTCAACATCAAAATAACTTCAACGAAAATGTATTTATTATGTATAACTCAATTTGTAATCAATTTCTGTTTAATAATATGTGTCCATTCATTTCCAAAAATATCGTTTAACACCGCCGGAAATGACACAAACGAAGACGGAGAGTATCCCGAAGATGTTTATGGATCTGTACTTAACGACACTGTATATGGACCAATATTCACGGATGTAAATAACCCACAATAATTCAATTTAATTTCAATTAAAACTAACTTAATTTTAGAACACAACAGATGAAGAAGATTTAATAAAAGGACCATATAGACATGAATACCAGATTGGAAAAGTACTCGGAATTACACTACCAACAACAATTTGTTTCCTCTTATTAATTATATTTGTGTGTTTAATCTGTAGACCAAAAACTCACTTTGTCAGTCATTTCACACGACCCCGATACGAACTTTGTCGGCATCAAAAGAAAACTCACGAAGCTTACCGTTTAAAACATGCCCCAACGCCTCAAGAACGCGAACAAAAACGTTTAGAAGAGTTAAGAAAAGAAGAAGAACGTATAGAAAAAATTAAAGAAAAACGGCGACTAAAACGTGAAAAGAAATTTGCAAAACAACAAAGAAAATGTGACAAGCGACATGAAGCGAGAGTTCAAGCTCATGAAAAGGCTAAAACGAAGCATATTGCACGATTGCAAAAATTAAAGTTGCAAAGGGAGAAAGATATTCAGAAAAAAATTAAGAAAAAGGCTTTCTTGGAGGAGAGAAGGGATGAATTGTTGGAGAGGGAAGGAAGAGAACCGCGTATTGATCGATCGAGGAGAAGTAAAAGTTTGATTTATGGAAGTGGGAAGATGTTGGATGATGATGACAGATTTATAAGGGAGGATGTTAGGCTGAGAAGAAGTACGGATGAGTTGAGTCAAAGAAGTAGCGAGAAGATCTCATTTGTCGATTTACGAGATAAAAGAAATGATGATAGAAGTACAAGAATTAGGGGGCCACCGAGAGAAAGACATTATGATTAAATTTTTAAAAATTTTAATTCAAGTATTTTAATTACATTTATTTTTTATCTTTTTTTTCTTTTTCATCTTCAATATGAACGTGGTACGTTTTTTCTTCGGGTTCTTTAAATATGTCTTCTTTCACCTTAAGCTTTTTCTCAATTTGACTAAAAGCCCTCTTTTCAATCTTTTCTTTTTCCACTAGTTTCCTTTTAAATTCCCATTCGGCTTCTTTATGTCCTTGCACAACATCTTTAAAGTGTTGCTGTCTAGCTTTTTCTTTCTCTCTCGAGGCAACAAGTCTTTGTCGATCCCTTCGTTTCTTCTCAGCCCATTGTTCCTTATACTTTTTAGCCAATTCTTTTTCACTCGCCCTTTCCTTATGTTGAATTTCCTCCAATTTCATTTTCTTCTGTTTCAATTTTTCTTTTTTAGCTTTAGCTTCGAGTTTTGAGGTTGTTTTATCTAATTTCCAAAGTTGTTTTGATTCGCGTTTGCGGATTCTGTAGGACGGTTGACCGGGTCTTCTTAAGAAATGATCACAAAACCAACCCGTGGGCATCAAAAGGAATCCTAAACCAACTATTAAAAGCAAAAATAGTGCGGCTGTTACAAAAGATCCAATTACGAAGGGAATAAAATCGCCGTAAACTCCAATAATATCTGGGTATGTTTCTTTACTTTTTGGAACTTCACTTTCATCCGGTTTATTATAAGGAAATAATTCTGATAAATTCAATAGATTTGTATAGTTTGGGTAAATTTTTGTTGTGTTTGAATCTTCATGTTCCGGTGAATCTGATGTTTCATCACCATTCGATATTTTGATTAATAATAAATAAATTAATTGAATTAGAATAATTGGCGTGAAATAAATCGGTATTAATTGCATTTTTGCAACAAATTTTAAAGTATTATTTTGAAGTTGACAATTGACTTTTTATTTGCAATAATTTTTGGTAAAATAATCTATACAGGTGGTGCCCATTATGTATGGAATATACGTAGTATATATCTTGGTACGTATCAACTTTATAAAAAAACACTTTATACAAAAGTTGTTTAATATTTTATTTGCCATATTAAGATAGCATTCAATTGTTTTTATTGCAGAAAACAAATGAGCAACGAATAACACTTGAAATTTTTTAAATGGCAATGTACCCTTTCGTTAGGCTCATTTGATAGAGAGTAAAATAAGTACC